ACATCGATTCTCAAGAAGGAAGGATGCGGTACCACAAACCTGAGAATGTGCCTGCGAGGACCCAGGGGTCGCAGAGGGAGGAGAGGACCACCCGGACCACCAGGGAAGCTGGGACGAACAGGAAGACAAGGCAACATTGGAAAACATGGTCCTGCTGGTCCTCAAGGTCCCAAGGGTGTCCCTGGTCCGCCAGGACCTAAGGGAGATCAAGGACCTGTTGGTCCCCCAGGTCCGAGGGGACTACCCGGAAAACAGGGCCCTCCTGTCTCAGCCCCTTCAATTCATGTCCCTCAAAAGACAATCACTGCAAATGTGAGTGACACCACATGGCTGCCATGTGTTGCTAAGGGCAACCCAGCTCCAAAGGTCACGTGGGTAAAACTGAATGGAATTTTTTCTAAAAGACGTCACAAGGTTCATGTCAGTGGGCTGTCAAGATGTGACATCATATGATGGAGGAATCTACTCCTGCGAGGCAAGAAGTGCCTTGGGTGTGGCACAAGCTAATGTTACATTGATTGTACAAGGTAAGCTTTTTATCAACATTTGATTGTGGGCTTAGGCATTTAAATAGCCAACATTCGATATTCTGGTTGAGTGATCAAGCACAAAACAAACTGAGAATAAAAGAATAAAAATAATTATGATTATGCTATTGTTTCCCTGGAGCATCGACTCGAAATGCTTTGTGCTTGACCACTCAACCGGAATATCGAATGTTGGCTATTTGAAGGGGGGAGCAAGAAAATGTTAACACACATGAATAGAGAACCAATAACGAAGATGATGATGATGATAATTCGAATTTATATAGCGCCATTTCCAGGAGCTCAATGGCGCTTTACAAGACATTTTAAACAGTCTACTGCTAATACAATTGCTAAAAATAAGAATTTGAATTTATAAAGCAATATATTATGACAATCATATTGATGTATGATGACAAGTTCAAGGGTAGAACACTGGGCACCAGTGCTGGGATGAAGCGAAGTGACCGTGCCCCACTGTGATTTGATTGAAGCTTTTGAGTCGCTTTTACCTCGACACTAATTCGCAACATTTTCTCAGTTCCTCCAAGGATAGTACACATAACCAGTTCACAGATAGTCGAGGAAGGAGCTAATGTTACTTTAAGATGCCTGACATCACATTGGTCTACTGTTTCCTGGTCCAAGCCATATGGAAAAATCCCGAAAAGTCAAAGCACAAAAAAAGAAGCAAAGTTGATTATATCAGGAATAAAAATGGAAGATAGTGGAGATTATGTCTGTCAAGCTGAAAACATTTTGGGAAAAAACACCAAAGTGACACAGATAACAGTAGTTGGGGCACTGAGATTTGAAGTAAAACCAGTTTTAACAAATTTCCCAACTATTGGCAGCCGTGTGGTCATTAACTGTAAAGTTGTCGGTGCATTGGTAACTCAGTGGAAGAAAGGCAATGAATCTTTGTCAGAGTTTATTTCCATTTTTCCAAATGGAACCCTGGTAATACCTAAGCTCAGAAACACAGATTTAGGAGTGTACATTTTAACAGCTAGAAATTTTCAGCGTGCAATCACAGCTCAAGTACAAATTGGCTACGCATCCTGTAGTGAGATAAAGAAAACAATTCCACTGTTGTTGTCTGGTAAATACACAATCAGTCCTGGTGGCTTATCATCTTTTAGTGTGTACTGTGACATGACTGACAAGGGTGGGGTGGGGGTGACTGTCGTCAGTCATGATAGTGAGGCTAGGACCTTAGTCAATGGTTTTGAAGGTGTAGGTTCATACAGACGGGACATTCACTATGCAGGAATAACTATGAATCAGGTAGCTGCACTAACTAAGGCTTCACGAAGCTGTGAGCAATTTTTAAGCTTTGAGTGCCAAGGGGATGTAGCATTTATAGCAGACGGTTATGGGTGGTGGATGTCACGTGATAATGTGAGACAAAACTACTGGGGTGGGGCTACCCCTGGAAGTGGCAAGTGTGCATGTGGTATGACCAATTCATGCCAGCGTCGGCCAGGTTATTGTAACTGTAATAATGTTGGTAGTCATAGTGAATGGCACAGTGATAGTGGATTACTGACTGATAAATCTACTCTACCTGTGACTCAGTTAAGGTTTGGAGATACAGGTGACTCAAGTGAGAAAGGTTACCACACCCTAGGAAGACTTAAATGTTATGGAACCTTGTAATCCTCCTGTACATTAATACTACTTCTGATGTGGCAACATCCATTTTTTTGGGCTGGTGGATTTGAATCTCTGATTGGGGGAGAACATTCAGTCAAACCCCAATGTGCAGTAAACTTGTCGACATGACAAATATTTAATCTGTGGGGTTTTCTGCATATAATACATTATTACAATTATCATATCAAGTTTATTCCAAGTCATGACAGAGATTGAAATGTTTGCTTTTTTTTTGAAAGAAGAATGAAATCTTCCTTTTTAGATTGAAAAATGAATAAAAAGCAATCAACAACCCAACCACATTATAAAGAATTAAACTTAATTTTAATGAAAATGAAAAAAAACATTTAAGCATTTTTTTTGTAAATTTATAAGTTTAAACAGATTGATAATGAAAGACATTCAAATAAAAATGTGTAGTTCAGATATTATCCATATCCCCCCCCCTCCCCCCCCAAGTAGGAATTTGGAATTTCCAAGGGATGAGGGGAATTGGAGAAAGAAAATTATTTACAGAGTTTGTGTGGAAGAAAATTGGAATTTCTGAGGATAGGGGGAGAGTCTTTAAAAAATCCTCTGTGAAAGTGTGTGTGTGTGTGAGGGGGGGGGGGGGGGGTATGGATTTACACAAAAACCAACCCTAACTACTAGACCCATCAACAGGAAATTCTATGGGTTATGGTACTCAGAGGCAGATCTAGGACTTTTAAAAGACTATTGTTTTTATTCTTTATATTATTCTTCATATGACAAAGTAAGGCAATACCATAGGAAACCCATAGTTGGGAAAATGGTGAAAAAATGAAATCTCAAATAAACAGAAATTAAATATTTTGAGAACTTTAAGTAAACCAAATGAAAGTTTATCTGATTTATTGATAAAAAAACTGATTTAACTGGTTAATCTGTAAGTATGTGTTCCTTCCTTACACCTGTTCTCCTGGCCCACCCTTTCTTTGATTCCTGGATCTGCCCCTGCAGGTTAAAGTTGGACTTGATAAAATAATACTACTAGATGTATGAACATACAAGTCCAACGTCTACTTGTATCACTCAAACAAATTCAGAATAGGACTACTGTGTAATTAATAGATGAACACCTTTTTATTCCCATCCACTAACTGAACGTAAGATTCAGTTTGTTTTTGATACAACATTAAAATAATCCCTGGGCCCAGTTGTACAAAGCCTGGATAGGGTTATCCAATGTATAAATCTTATCCAGTGGATAAATGTATTAGATAACAGTATTGACTTATACACTGGATAAGAATTTATCTGCTGGATAGCGCTATCCAGGCTTTGTACGGCCGGGCCCTGGTGATTTAGAATTTGTTAAAAATGATTATGGAGGCTTTGCTTCATCACGTGATGGCAGCCATGACAGGGGGGATAAACACAGAGTCTTTTTCCCCTGGGAAACTGAATTTTTTCTCATGTAAATCAGATTAGACCAGATTCAATTTTTCCTGCCTCCTGTCATTGCGTGATGCTGCAAAGACTCTATTAGGATATCATCAAAGAATCCTATTGATTATTGATTAAGTTATCAAATGGATTATCAAAAACTTACTTTGTTTATCACAAAAACAAAAAAACAAAGCGAAAAACAACATATTTAAACAAATATTAATCAAAACACATTATTTTCTTCCCATACTTGATGCATGCTTATAGTCATTTTTGTGATGTTAATCTGCCAACGATTTCATTAAAAGGTTTTGTCACTTTGCTTTGTTGGATGGTCCAATAAATTTGTGGTTGGCAATAGCCCATTTCTGAGACATGCTTCACTTGTCACGCACAAAGGTTTCATTATGAGGCTACGTGCTAAATGCTCAGTCATTCGTGACGGGCGGTAAGAATAAATTTAATTTAGCACATAGCTTCATACTGAAACCTTTGTGCATGACAAGTGAAGCATATCTTAGAGGTAGGCTATTTAAATAACAATCAAACAAAACATATTTTGTCATCATATGCCCACCTACTTCATAGGTCACTAGATGCTCATGGCTACCCTTGCTAACATGGTTGCTGTGATACTAGAACAGCTTCTATGCAAGTTAGACCCATATTGTGTATATGAAACAATATGGACATTTCTCAAGCCGCAGCCATTTTGACTGGAGCATTAGTTTTCACCACGTAACCTCACATTCAAGTGTTTCAGAATGAGGTTACCGTAGGGTTAAACAAAGGTTAATTTTATTCTTATGGGAATAAACATTGCATCTTGATCAATGTGCATACCACAACACTGAATTGGTTTCAGATTTCCTTCAATTGATTCATCCAGTCAGAGGTACAGTATGAATTCATACTATTGATTATCCCAAATTACATGAACCCTGTCTTTTCCTATATTATACTACTAAAAAAGGAAAGGGATTGAAGACAAGCACATAATCGGCACCAGATATACGATATTATTATACTTTTTCATCATCTCAAAATAGGATCAAAGTTTTCACATAGGGTATTGAATGCGACACAGATTTGGATTAAAGGTTACTTTTCAATCATTTCAAGTTAAAGCCAAAGTTGACGTGATGTGGTTGACAGTATGTGTAGCACTAGTACGCTCACCTTAGCAGAGATTGTTAGATTTCTACCTTGATTCAAGATTTTTTCTCTGGGCTCATTTTCTTCCCCCACAAACACCAAAAGTGTTAAATTTCAACCCCATGAGCTCACCCTTCCCAGACTTATGTTAGATAACACCCTTAAAATCTACTTATATCAACATGAGAGCACTATTATCTTATTAGGAATATATACTAAATGTTTTTTTTGCCTGTTGAGTTTCGCATACAAGCACTTCCAGAGTTTAGCCAGATATGATTATTTACTAAAATCCTATTCTCAATGACAGTCAAAAGTGAAATATCCATGCTACTTCAATTAGTACATTTTAAGAATTATTTTTCCTAACCTTAAACATGTTATCTTTGTAATCTGTCTCTCTTCTCTTCTTAATAAGAAGGTTGTTTGAATTCACTTGGGACTTCTGAAGGGTTTGTACCAGAACCTTGTCCCTCTGGTCGGGAATCATCAGAAAATGGCTGCGACTGATAAGGGTCCCCAGCTGCTTCTGATGTATTTGGAGGGAAGGGAGCGTATGGTGAGGGGTAGGACTCCCCTGCAAGGTTGTCTTTGTTGTAGTCAAAGTCATCTGGGCCACGGCGATACTTCATGAATGCCATGACAGCGAGTCCAAACTAGGACATCAAACAAGGAAATGAAAATCAATGCCTAATGTTTGTTTACATCGTAATAATATCATAGAACTTTCTATTGTCTGTACTATTAAATGCTTTCCCCTCTAAACCCTGGCCAATTGTCCTGTTCGTAGTGGCTATGTTTGTTTTCTAGGAACATTTGGAACATACAGTGTATGGATGTTGTTCAACCCTATCAAGACGGCATACCAGTAGACTGCAGCATTCTGACTGTTCAGAAAACCAATCAGATCACTCTATTTTCACCCTTACGTAACTAATATACAATACCGACACACACACTCTCTTAAAAGCACTTTTAAACACATGACATAAGAATGGAGCAAATCAAAAATCATTAGGTTACTTACCCAAGTTATAATTGAAAAAAATGAAAATGCAATGGCTGCTTGGCAATTGTTTGTCTGTGATGTACTGGTGACAACCTTCATCTGACGCCACTTGTCAGCCAAGTAGCAAAAACAAACAAACCAGAGGAATGACCAAAGGCCTGAAAATGCTAAATCTGCCATTGTGACGATCCTCTTGTTTTCAGGGTTTGTGATTGTGTCATATTGAGAATCGATTGCCAGGAATACAATACAAATGAGAAACGCCATGACCCCTATTCCTACACCATAATGGCAAGCACCGCTGTCACCGTTATAGAGACATACACCATAAGTGGAGTCATATCCACCAGAAGATATACAGCCAAATACAACAATGGCAAACAACTAGAGGAAGACACAGAACTCTGAATTAATACAAAAATAAACTGGTTCATTACTGTTACACCATTTTTAATGAGTAAATGGTTTGAACCCAGCTTTATACTAGGGTTATAACGAGGAATTAGGGATCAGGATCATATTATGAATCAAGAATCACAGAAGAAGGATTGGGATTGTATGAATAAATTCAGGGATCAGGGGAATATTTATGGGATCAGGAACAAACTACATAAGTTGTATGTTGTATTTTCCTGTACAATTTTAGGATCAATCCCCCCCAAAAAATCCCTCGACATGGCTTATACAGTACAGCTATTTAAAAAAAGGTTGGCGACGGTTTTATTGCATCTTGCATGTTATTATTAAGTTTTAAAAGTATTTATATTTGATATGCAAATCATGTCGTTACAGAGGAAATTATTCCAGAAAAATGTGCAGACAGAGTTTAATAAATTTCCAAAATGTTGTGATCTTTTACCTTCCGAATGGTCCACTTCCAAGATATGCTTCGCTTGTCACACACAAAGGTTTTAGTACGATCGCGACGCTACATACGAAATTAAATCTTTCTCTTCTTACATGAAACACTGAGCATTATGCATGAAGCCTCGCATTGAAACCTTTGTACGTGACAAGAGAAGCATATTTCGGAAGTGGGCTATTGACAATGGGCATATTGCAGTTCAGGGTGGGTATGCAATATGCAAAAAAAAAAAACACCAGCCTTTTCTGAAATAGCTGTATAGGTCTGTATCTATAGGGGCTTTTGGGTCGGGTGGAGAGAATGCATACTGTTATTGAACACAAAATTATACGAAAATTATCACCTTTCTCGCAATGAACACTGCCAACTTTCTTTATACATTCTCAAAAGAGCAGAATATTCCATAAAACTCAAATTTCATACCGCTATTTTAGCTTCAACAAAACAGCGTTCTGTATAGCGAGGTTCAAAATTGAGTGAGCATAATTTTTGAAAAACTGCCACGACTTTAATTTGGCTTGAAATTTTCCTTCTTTTGGCATTTTTGAACACTGAAAGCTTCCAAATCGTATGCTTTCTTTAAAATAATTATCGAATTGGAATATTATTGATATTTTTATGGCTCAAAATCGATGTTCAAAGTAGGAAAACTATCAATCATAAGTACACATAAAAACCTAATAATGAATAAATTCAAATTCCTACGAAACGTCTAGACCATTTGTCTCTTACAACAGCTGTGCAGCGCTTGCATTGATTGTTAAAAAGGCGATACATTCTTTAAATCAAAACGAGAGAGATAGCAGAAACAAAGACAAAACCCATTTGAAAGGCCCAAAAGAGGAATTAAATTAGTTTAATAGTTGAACTCGTGGCTCGAAAAAAGCCAAGGACCTCAAACAAAAGTGTGCAAAAAAAGTCCTGGTTAAAAACATCTTTGAGATATATAATGAGCCAGTATGAAAGTTAAAGGTTTAAAGTAACTGTGAAGATAACTTACAATGGATATAAGGCGTAGAATAACCGGTGGCCTTTTTATAAACTCAGCTGGGTTGAATTCCTCCATGTCGAACGGTTCAAGTCAAACTCGAGAGGGAAGCACTCAACACAGGAACCCCAATACTTACCTTTGCATAAATTATCCAAAAATATAAATATTTATGATAAAATAAATAGTTAATATTTGATTGTTAATAGTTTTGATAAATAGCTCAAAATGACTTGCTTTAAATATTTTTCAAATCAATTTTCGGAAATTTACTAATAAATAACATGAAATTTAAGAAAATATAACTTCGTTTCTGGGCTTCCTCTGGTAGTTCCAGTCTTCCCGTGATTCCAGGAAACACAAGCGGAAATCTAAGCGGAAGCGATGGAAGAACCGTAAGTATGATTTGCAAAAATTTTCTTGCTTCAAAAAATGTCCCCAGTTTGTTAGTATTTTCTTAATTGAATATTAAAAGGTAAGAAATTCTTTTAAATATTATGATAGCTAATTATAGAATCTAGAGATTTGTTCTTTAAAATTACAGTTTACATTTTTCATGAGGAAATTCTTCCATAATTTATTAAAAAAATATTTTTTAATGCAGGAAAAGTATTCCTTCATTTATTTCACATAAATTATTAATTATACAGTGCTGAAGACTAAGAAATAGATTCATTATTGTTCAAGTTAGAGCAGACTATGGTAGATGTTGGAACATGAAAAGCTCTGAAACTAAAAGTATTGCTGCTTTTCTTTCATTTTACTTCCACTTTCGTACCATATTTGTATTCAAGAGAATGAAACTTCATAAATATATTAAACTTTATAATTACAGATGCTGTTCAGAAGAGCATTAACTCAGATCTCACCTCAGAACTTTTCACCAGATTCAAAAACAAAATGCTTGCAGCTAAGATTGAGCACTGAATTTCCGAGTATATTGGAAGAAATAAAACAAAAACATACCTTGATATTCCAACTCTATGGGGAGCCAGGGAGCGGCTGTTCAACCTTGGTTCAAGGACTTTGTCAACACCTTTGTGAGATCGAACACATCGCAGAGAAGGAGATATTGTACCTTTCACTCAACCAATATTGTAATGAGAAATCTTTGTGGGAGTTCATGAGTGATCTGGCAAAAGAAAGAAATTATAAAGAACAAGCCACATTCTTCTCTGCAACATCTGAGAAAAAAGATGAAAAGATCAAAAGGTTTCTAGGGTTTTTTAATTTCAAAGTTGTTTGCTTTGACAATGCAGATTGTAATGATGGTTTAGTGGAATCTTTCTTGGAACATCTTGTGTGTAGTAAGATCAAGACTTTTATCATTGGCACACAAACCAGACAGATTCAAACTAATGAACAAGTTAGTACGATAGAGGTGAGAGGTCTCAACTTGTCAACTGCTCAAGAATTGTTCAAAAAACTTTGCCCTTCATGTGCCTATGAAGACGGACAGATTTCAAGCTTATGTGGAATCCTCAAATATAACCCGATTGCCATCAACTTCTTCTGTGCTTTAGTAAATTCACACAAACTTGATGCAACTCAACTACAGCTGTCCAAAGGTGAAAGACAGGTTGACATGTTTGCACTAGATTGGATATTAGATTACATCAAGCAATCTTTGGGGCCATCATATATCAGCATCTTGTATCAACTGTGTCACCTTCGAAGACCACTCCCAATGACAGAGGTAACACCAGAGATTAGTAAACTCATGGAGCTGAATCTACTGACAGTCAAGAAAGAAGGAAGTGTGAATTTTATTGCCATTGATTTATGCCTGCAGAAGCACTTGTCTCACAGAAAAGACAATAAGACTGCAAAGGACACTGTAAATGAAACTGCAGACTTTAGTGTCCTGGAATGCTGGCTTTCTTTAGTTTCTAATAAACTTCAGAGGTTGGTTCAAGATGCTGAGGAAAATGCATGGCCTTTTGTTCCTGAAAAATGGTATGGGTTTTGTATTGCATTTTGTGTTTCTATTTTCCCTAGCTGACACTCCAGAAAAAAAAAAAGCAAATCAGGACGTAGCAAAAGCCCAACATATATTCAGTCATATTCCATGGTTCCTTCCAATATCATGCATTTGAGCCTAGGTGTATTTTTATTAGTGTGGGATAAATATTTCTTTTATATGCTTTCTTGTGGCAAACTATGGCATGTCCCACTTGTCACTTGTATTTTCTTAACAAACACATTATACTGAAGGCTCTTGTAGAAACAACAGAAACTACAAATGATTTGTGCGATATTCCATGATATGCCACTCTTCTTCTTACCCTGTATGATTTGTAGATATTTTTAAATTCCAGGCAGTTCATCCAAAATGTAGGCAAAGAGGAAAACTACAATGTCAAGGAACTTCTCACTTCAAGGAACATACATGTTGGTTTTCTTACAGAACTGCAAATACTTCAAGTGAGTATTAATTTTTTTTAAACATTAGAAAGAAGATATATGCTTTCTACAGAAAGATAGGATAGGTAAAACATTTTGCCCTCAAAAATTGTTGATAAAATTGCATTCAAATTAAAGTGTAGGGATTGTCACAGAGACCTATCATTGGTCCATTTACTTTCTGTCCACTGGAAAGAAAGGATTTGTATAAAAATTTTATAACTGCAAATCTTGTCATGAAATCTGTAAATCTGGTATATTTGCATAAAGTTGAAGTTATGGAATGCCTCTGAGATCTACCTTTGGTYCACTAACACTGATGTAAAGGMTGCATGGATAGATGTAAYAATAATTTAKTAGGGTTGAGAGATCAKTGCATGCCTATATTCTKACTTTTAAATCTTTCTTCAGGAATGTTTGTATCATGCATATGTAGAAGAAAACTTCAAGAAAATGGCTGCGTTAGTGTTGGTTCTTGACAGGTTCCTGTACTGGCAGGGGGAGGGAAAGATTGCAATGGACATTGTTGATCATATCCAAAGTAGAAGTCCGCAAACTGCTATTGCACCTCAGCTTGTCATTAGAAGGGTCAGGTTCATGAAAAGTAATGGAAGTCTTCAAGGTACATTTTCATAGCATTATAGTATATGGATAGATGGATAAACGGATGGATGGATGGACAGGTGAATGAATGAATGAACTGAAATAGAAAGGCTGGGGATAGAAGAAAAAATGAAATAGATGACAGAATATAAGCTATACAATAAATCTTTTCAACATTGCAAAATGTTCACCCTTCACAGTACGTTTATGTACATGTCAAAATGACAAAGTTTGAAATGGATTCGTTATAATATTAATATGGAAAGTAAAAGGATGAATAAACCGCAATAAACCTACAGCAGAGCATCAGCTGTTATGGGCAATAGTGCTCCCTGCCTTTCCTTGTTTGGACACCACAGTCCGAAAACGTTTTGAGGGAGGTGGGGAGGGGGGGGGGGGGGTTAGTGGGCTGAAATGACACCACAGATAGACTCCCCTAGGCATCTGCAATGTTTGAACTAACTCAAGATCTTTTTGTTGCATCTACAGAAGCAGAAGAAACCCTGAATAGACTGTTGCAGGCCAAGTCAAGGATTGGCCAATGGAAATACAGGAAGGAAGATGACTTCCATCTTGTATCTGGTGTTTGCGTGCAAATCAAAGGGGAAATCCAATACCGTCTTGGACTCTGGTCAAAAGGCGCTGCCCTTCTGATACAATCATTGGGGTTTTTTGGATCTCTTCCACAACCAGACAAAAAGGTATGCATTTTGCAACGGAAATTAATCTACTTCTGCCCTACATCGTTACGGAAGGGAAGCGAACCACATAAAACAACGTAGGCTAATGAAATGACATTTAACTTCAGAGGGCCACAAGTTCATCAATACCAGTCGCATCTGCTCGGCATTCATCACCTCAAAAGTTCATCCCATCTTTGCTATTTTCATTTTTCCAACAGGGTCTCGCTTCCAGCTATGGCCTCTTGAGTTTGTGTCTTCGTAACATGACCGTCCAAGACTATGCTGTTTTGGCGCAGACCTTTGGCCTTTTCCAATGCCATCCATTGCTTGCTGCCTACTTCAGTGGACAAGAAGCTGCCAAAATGTCTGTGTATGCCCCTATGTTGTTTCTTCGAAACATAGTAAGGACTACATAACATAAACTTCAAAATTTTCAAAAGTCAAACCATTTCTTTTGTTTTCTGTTTTCAGCATTCATTTTATTATCTTCATTATTATTATTATTATTATTATTATTATATTATATTATGTTATATTAATATTATTATTGTCATTTTATTACTGTTGTTCTTGTTCTTGTAGTTGCTGTTGATATTATTATAAGGCTTATTATTTCATTTTAAAATATTATTTTAACCCTTCTTTGCAGTGCCAAGCAGGAGAGGTTTTGCTGGAGTTTCTCAACCTCATCCCTGACAAGAACGAGAAACAGCATCTTCTGAAAATCGCCATTGAAGACCTAAAAGACAGCATACAAGCCCATCAATCATACGCTTCACTCACGAGCAGAGAACAGTTTTACCTTCTAGTATGTGCCGTGTATAAGATAAGTCTTGCCCTCTTCCAGATTGGTTCCAATGAGGACAAGGAAAAAGGGATGAAGCTCAAGGACTTATCTACAGAACTGTACGAACACTACTGCTCGTCTAGTGATCGTGTATCAATCACTAAAACAGTGATTGGGGTGGTCGATCAGTGTCTCAGTCTCCTGGGATTACAAGCGTTTTCACAAGATAACTTGGCAAATGCTGGTGAAGTTCTGGTGAACTACTTCAAAATGCGCAAAACCATGCGTCAGAGACAAAATACTAGTTTATCGAGTGTCGGGTTTTTTGACAACCTGGTCAAACCTGATGTACTATCTGTACCTAGGGTATCTAAACAGAATCAGAGAAATCAAGATTTGAAGAAGACAGTTGATCAATGCACGGGTACAGCAGAGATACAAGAAGAACAACAAGTGCATCAAGATCAAGCACTGGACGGGACAGTTGATCAATGCACGGGTACAGCAGAGATACAAGAAGAACAACAAGTGCATCAAGATCAAGCACTGGATGGGACAGTTGATCGATGCACGGGTACAGCAGAGATACAAGAAGAACAACAAGTGCATCAAGATCAAACACTGGACGGGACAGTTGATCGACACACAGGTACAGCAGAGATACAAGAAGAACAACAAGTGCATCAAGATCAAACACTGGATGGGACAGTTGATCAATGCACAGGTACAGCAGAGATACAAGAAGAACAGCAAGTGCATCAAGATCAAACACTGGATGGGACAGTTGATCGATGCACAGGTATAGCAGAGATACAAGAAGAACAGCGAGAACACCAAACACTTCCCAAGCTTCCAGAGCAGTCAATTTTCCAAACAGTAGACCAGCCTGCACAAACTAACATAAACGCAATGGAAGAAGGAGGACAAGAAATCGTTGTGCAAAGCCTAGCCGACGAAGCAGCGAATTTGCCATGGAAAACCATGGAACCGTTGACAGCAGACAAACGTTTAGTGGGACAGCAGAAAACAGCGAACGTTAAAGCAAATCGAGTAAAAGGTATTTACAAACAGTGACTTAGTGAGAGTACCAGAATTGGAGGGGCGTCCGCGCGCGTGCGTTTTGGCGCAAAGATTCCCGCAAAATCCACACGTAGCCTAATAAAATAGGGAAAAAGGGAAGTTTACAATTTTTAGTCACTAAAATGTCATGGATGCTTTGGAAAGTGGAAGCGGTGTTCTATAATTGCTTCCAAGTCTTATTCAAGTTTTCTTTCACTCTCCAATCACCAGATGGCACACTCTGGAAGTACGACTATCCATCCAGCCAGTGGAGAGGACAGTCAACGATGGTGTACATTGGAGACCAACTGAAACTTGCCAAGGGGAAAGAAGGAAAACAAAGAGACGTGTACACTGTTGAATTTATCAACCAAGATGAACAATTGGGAAGGTAAGCGACTGTGGAAGTCGAGAAATAATTCATAGAGATCTTCACTGCTTTAAGGCTGAGAAGGCAAGGCTTGCTTAAGAGGGATATTGAGAGATTCTGATACGTCCATCATTGTCTCTATCAAGTAATGTTTCTTCTTATTCTTCTTGTTCATTTTTTGTTGGGTTTTCAGGTATGTGGCCAAGCGTTACCGTAAGTCTAAGTACCAGACAATGCAACAGTACCAAAATGACGTACTGAGTCAGATGACTGCCAAGCAGTATGTTGCTTTGTTCAACCAACAGCTCTACCAAAAAGCTGCAGGTAAGAAGATTAATGATAGAATATTTGTCCATAGTTTGTGACAACATGAGTGGAATGGACCTTAGCTGGAGTTCATAATAACTGTGGCGTTGGTAGTGGAGGTAATTAGTGATGATGGTGGCAACGTCATGGTGATATTAATGGTAATGATGATTATGATGGTGGTGGGGATGTTAATGATTATGTTGGTCGTAGTGATGGTTGAAGTTAATGATGGTGATGACAACGATAAATGGTGCTTATTTCAGTTATAATAATAGCGATTGTGGTGGAGATGGGTGATGACAATGACGATGATGATAACGACGATGATAATGTTGATGATGATAACGATTGAGAAGGTGGTGATGATTGATGATGGTAACATTGCATGGGTACAAGTCATGATCTTAAAAACGATGACAAATATAAAGCGACAGGACATAACAAAGTCTGTGCTTATCTTTGTACTTACTTCAGGTGCTCCAGTAGGTGATATCCAGTTCTTACCAGTCGTCCTTCTTCAACTAGTTAACTCCAATGGCCAAACTGAAATCTTCAACGCTGAGCCCTACATGTCAGGGGAATTCATCAAACTCACCAACAACACTGACTGGATAAACAAACACAGACGAACTGATCTGGTTCTGGCATACAGTCACTTCACTTACCAAGCATCTGATGGCAAACTTATTATTGTGGACATACAAGGCTGGGCACCTCTTGATAATCAAGGGTGCACTTTCTTAACAGATCCACAGATTCATTCAACTGTTTACAAGTGCTTTGGAACTGGAAATTTTGGAAAAGAAGGATATGATAATTTTTGGAAAATGCATTCAGAATGTAACCAAATTTGTAAGATGCTAAAATTGAAGAGACCTTTTAACAAATAGATTTTTAAAACCTTTTTAAATGTCCACCCAATGGCAATCACTGTCTGTGGGGGGACTGGATATCCATGAGATACCTTTTTATATGGAAACTACTTAGGATTTTAATATTAAAAAAAGCTAATCAGCTAATCTATTACCCCAATTCCCATTTATAGTTAAATATATATGATGTAAATGTAGAGGAAGGATCAAGGATTAGTTAAGGTTGGTGGGTTGTGGGTTGTATGGAAAATTCTGATTATACTCCCGTTACCTAATATTATCTGAAGAATTGTGTCATTTCTCATTATAAAAGTACATTTTATGATTAAATCCAACTACTTTCTCTGCCTTTTCAGTGTCTGTCTCTTCCGACTTTGCTTCTTACACCATGTCATAACTGGTTGAGCTGTAACATCCTTTTATATTCCGACTGATTTAATGGTGCTATAGAATACATCAACTATACCCATGTGTAGTCGGTGGGAAAGGGGCATGTCCCATAATACATTGCGGGATATATATTATGACACCCCCAGCTGGAACTACAACTGTATTATGCAAATCCAGAAAATATCCTTACCATCCCAATTGAGAGTGTTTCGAATTTTGAAGGGGTGGGGGAGGGTCTGAGAGGGGTATATCATGTTGTTCCAAAAAAATATTCATACCTCCCCCATGGATGGAGATTGGAATTTCCAAGGGTTGGAGAGGGTCTGGGGGGGGGTTAGTGTGTAGTACCAGAAAATATCCATACTTCCCTAATGGAGGGGGATTGGAATTTCCCTGGGGTGGGGCGTTCGAGAGGATTGAATATTTTAGTAATTCCCTTGTGGAACTATCCTCGGGAACCCAGGGGTAAATTTCTGTCGCTCGTTTCTCGCTACCAGAAGGGTATTTCCCGAGGATATTGTGTTGTCCTCTTTCGTTTTGAGGTATGGGTTTCCTGTGGTAGTTCCAGCTTATCACGGTCACACACGCGGAAGTCAGATAAAAGTGAAGACGGTTTGCGAACAAAAACAGTTATGTTAGTATTAGTATTTACTAATTTAATATCACCAGGTAAGAAATACTTTACATACTAACCTTAGCTTAAGATACCATCTTTTTTTTTTGAAATATCGCAAGTTTACAAAAAAATTTAATGGGGGTATTTCCTATCATTAATATTTAAACTAGCTGTTGCATATGTTAATGCAAATGAAGTGCTGCGAGTAAGTAGAAGATAATATCAAAATATGTTTATTGTATGTGAAAACAATAGGTACATCAGCATTTGTCACCATAATAGGAGATTATTTTTTGCCCAGTGGGCAATCGGTGTGAGATATTACGTGCGTCAAAAATGCCCGACTGTTTTGTTTCGTTTGCCTCAATGGGCGAGAACCAGCGAGCTCTGTTTCAGGCAGAAAGTTGAGTGACAACCTCTCGGTATCTGGGATAGTTTGTATTTTAAGTGCACTCAAGTACATGGTGTCTCCTTCCGTAAAGATCTGATCTACGGTTGTGGCAGTCTAGTGTTCGATTGGCAAAGTCTGAGCACATAACAGCGCTGAAAAACTCATGAAAGATCATGTTGTCTTCCTCGTGAAATGTCGCTAAATCGTTCATGACCTTGATAAATGCTTCCAGCAATAAATAAGTTTGTGTTTGACATAATTAGAGTACGAAAAAGAAGGCTTACTTCAATTTATCTTTAACTAGACGCCCTTATTGGCGTTTACTCGGGCTACCTATGTCGAAAACAAAGAAGGTGAGAAAGTAGTAGAAGTGTGAAAGTAAAGGAGCGCAATCGGAGAGGATGTGTTTATGTTGGTCAACCCCGAAAAAATGAGAGGGTCTCGCGGGAACCGTTGTTGCCAGGCGGTTTGCTTGGTAAAA